ACGGGGCTCCATCTCACAACCCTGAGATCATGACCCAAGCTGAAATCAAGAGTCGGATGCCCAACTGATTGAGCCACCCGGGTGCCCCATGATCATGATTTTTAAATCTTTTATTCTTTAATCAGGCCCTTGTTTTTTCATGCCATTGATTTGGTAGAGAAACCAGGTCATTTTTTTTTTTTAATTGAACGTTTGACATTCTGGATTTGACTGCTTTCTTGAGGTGGTTTGGTTTTCAAACTCCATTCTTGGTCCCCTGTATTTCCTATTAGTTCTAGAGGCTGGATTAGATTCAGATTCTATCTTAGGCAAGAAGACCTGATAATGGTTCTGGGTACTTCTGATTTTATTATATCATGTTGCACATAAGGTCTGGTTGTTGGAATTTTAGGTTTTAGGTTTTTTATTCCTTTCTTATCGCAGTTGCTCTGTCTCTTTGGGGAGATTCAAAACCATTCTACATTACTATCTTTGCCCAACCAAATAAAAAAAAAAAGCCAAAATTTAACAGGACAAAATGACTAGGCAGAAAAACTGATTCTGAGTCTCTTGGACAATCTGTATTTGAAGAAAGCTTCTCCTGCTTCACACACAAAGGGATTGACTGTATAGGGGAAAAGCATGTAAGCTACGAACACTTAGGGATTACTAAATGTAAGTTTAGAAAAAGCACATCACTAATTAGTATATTTAGAAACTGCACTGTTAAAAGTCAGGATGAAAATAGCTGAAATTTAATGAGTCATTTGCTAATTATTTAGCTTATGGATTTCCAATGCCATTTGCTTCTAGCCCTTTTCCTCGTCCTTAGGCAATTTTTGGTGGTATTTTACTGCTTTTTAACACCTCCAGAAAACACTGTATGCTGGTAACTGACCATAAATTGTACACTTGGAGAGATACATAAGAGATTATGACTCAGGATCCATGCTTGTTGCTGACTGAGATAAACCATGAGTGGTTTGCACCACAGTTGAAGATTTTCAGAGCCAAAAGTAGTTAGAATTCTGTGGACGACCTAACGTGCTACCTATCGCTTGATAAAGAAACAGAGACATAAATCATGAAGATCAATGTGCCTACTGAAGAAAGAGACGGTGTTTCACCATGCTCCTCAGATGCTAGATGTACTCTGCTATGGGCCCAGCCCAGGGGCTCCAAGCCATGACTGGACCCGGGGAGCTTTTAAACACTGATGCACAGACTCACCCTTAGAGTTGAGTCTGGTTCTCTAAGGTCCCAGGTACTGGGATTTTGACAAAGTTCTTCAGGTGATTCTCATATATGGTCATCTTCAATCAGGCCAGCAAATGAGAGGTGCCATTTATAGGTCTCACTCTGTGCAAAGGACTGTGCTGAACATCTCTTGCACGTAAGGAAACAGATCCTTGGAGGGATGTTATTCGATCTATGTTTTGCTACAAAGCAGAGTTTCACATCCAGTCTGTCTGGCTTCTGAACTAGGGGCTTTTGAACTTTTTTTGAACATAATCCAAAGTAAGATAAAAAAATTTACATCATAACTAAGAACACATAACATAATGAAACACAAGTGTAACAAACAATACTTAATCTTATTAGGTGTGAGGCACACAGATATTGTTTTATTTAACTAAAAAAATACTCCTCAAAACCCACTAAAATGATCTCATGACTTGCACTTAGAAACACTCTTCTAAACCATGACAGTGCAGATTTCCTTTCTGTTCCAAACACACGGTAGGATCTTTCCTCCATCAGTGCTTTCTCATTTTGTTTTTCTCATGTGGCGAGCCCATTTTTTTTTCCCTATGCATTTTTTAAAGACCATCAAGGTGGTTCCTGGCTAAAAAGTGTTTCCCAGACTACTCCAGTTTATGGTGACTCTTATTTCAAGGCCTATAGGTAACACATAGCTCATCACACATTTTTAAATACTAAATTATATGGTATATTGTGATTCTCTATAATTGTCTTCTAATATCTTAGAAGGTTAATGTCTCCTTGACTAAATTTAACTTCTTTGAGGATAGTGGCCATGTCGTATGCTTCTGTTTCCGTACTTTTTGCAATGCCGAGCACAGAGCTGGGCACATCACAGATGCCAAATAGCTGTACAACCCTAGACAAGTCAATCTCTGAGCTTTCATTTCTTCCATGAAATAAAGGGGGCTGCTTTAGCTTCATTCGAAAGTCTCCTCCAGGTTAAGTCTATTTTTCTATGATACATACACACTTCTATAAAATAGAGGAATGAAGGAAGAAAATAAGAAACACTTTTGTGAGCAACTACAAGAAAAGTTCTTGTGCAGGAAGAAAAAGCCTGAAACTGGCATTTTTGGTAGGCAAAATATAAACTCCTGTGCTGTCTGAAAAGATTAAAGAAGAACTCATTGGAGTTAAAAATGAAGTTGGGCCCTGTGTCACTTGCATACTGAAATATGATTATTTATAGGCCTCATTTCTTTCTCCAGTTGAATGATCACACTGTATAGGTAACAAGACATTTCCATGGGCTCTTATCCGGTTGAATGGATTATATAATAACACAAAGCTTAATAAGGAATGTGGAGTTGGGGGCATGTAGAAGCAGAGGTATCATGATTTAGGGAAAAAAAATGATTGAATACAATTACATTTTAGATACTGTTTGTTTGCAAGTGGTTGTGAAATATTACTGAGCACCTTCCCAGGGCTTCTGAGGCCAAAGAATGTGGCTAACTGTAACCCCAAGACCATTGGCATTCTCCTGGTCCTGAGGCTATTGGTGGAGAAGCCAGAGAGGTAGTCAGTCCCTTTGGTGCTGTGTGTGTGTGTGTGGTGGGGAACGGGGGGGATCTAAGATCTATGGTCTTACTTACTCAACATTCATTTTCTCTTTATTAGGAAAACTAATTTTCCTTTTGGGAACCTCTCCTCTCTTCCACTCAGTTCATATGGTTTAGGTGTACAGGGCGGGGGGCACTAAAGCTATCTCCCTTGATCTTTTTCAGACAGTCAAGTGACCCCCAACCTGCAGTGCATATTTAAACCCATGGTTACAATGCTCAGTTCAGAGATGGGAGTAGGGTCCAAGTTAGTCCAATAAGACTCATTCTTTGGCCTGCTCTCTTGCTAATGGGATCAGTTGCTAAGGAGGCTGGAGGAGAAAGTAAGCCTGGGGCTGTCAATCTAGGCCCTGATTAGAGAAAATAAAACCTGTACAATGAAAGCACAGCACAATATGGAGAGAAATGGAGTCCTAACATTCTTTGATCATCTGGAGGAAAAAAAAAAGATTCAAAAAAATAATAATTCTTCTTCTTCTTCCTTCTTTTTTTTTTTTTTTTTTACCAGATCTACTCTTGGGATTTTAAGCATATGAGCCAATACATTCCAACCTCCTCCACTGTAGGTTTTCTTGAGTCACTTTGAGTTGGGTACCTATTACCTCCATTTTTCTGACTATATAGGAATGTATCATAATAGAAAGATATCCTTCCTCTTGTTCACTGCCATCCTCCTCTCTCATCTTCCTATTTGCTCCAGGAAGGACCACATCTGCTTTTATAGAGCCAAAGGCTTATTTCTTCTCCACATTGTAAGAGAAATTGCTCCAACCTTTTGCACATTGTCTCCCTGCCCTCTTCCTCCACAAATCAGCATGTGCTTGCTATACAGCTGCAGATGGTAGGACTGAGGTCCATTCTCAGGCAACTATGCCAGTACTTTTGTGTGAATTAGAATCTACCACTCCCTCTGAGCCCACCCCCCCTGGGAGGCAGTTCTTTGTAAGCCCCCACTGGATCTTAACCCGTTTCCACCTCAGCCAAAGGACACTGTGCAGGGTACAAATGACAGCCTATCTTGAAGCCCCACAGTACCAAGAAGTAAGAATTGGAGCCATGAGGTAGAAAAACAAGCCCTCTGCTGCCCACACCCACTGTGACTGTGGTCCGTTCCTAACGTGTTGATGGCTGCTGATGCAGTGTGTCTCTGTGGCATCTCCCCACTGCGCATACCTCACTGTGGTCTCAGCAGAGATCACAAATGATGATAGCTAGGAAAACAGTATCACTGTTACTTGAAAGCAGCATTTCCCGGCATCATTTAGATCTTAAGATGGTAACTTTTCTGGAGGGTCCTCCTGAGTTCATTTGGGGATCTTTACAGCCAATCTCTGTTGATGAAAGTCAAAGTCCACAGTTAAGAAATCCACCTGGAGGCCATCTGGCAATTAGCCATCGGAGAACCGAGCACAGGGTAAAGCAGGACATTTGGCAAATCTCCCATGCCCTACACCACTGACACTTTCAGGGATCAGTCTAGGGGCCTCCCAGTGGCCTTTAGTTATTTCAATCTCCAGCGCTCCTGGGGAGACCCTCATCACTGTGTGGGAGATAGAGGAAGAATATGCGAGACCCACGCGAGGAAACGCAATTCCACTGGGCAGTAGCCAGCGGCGCGCAAGGGCTTTGGGGGCGCGGGCGACGGCGGCGCTGCGGTGTGGGCAGGAAGACAGGACCCAAAAAGGATGGGGGCGGTGAGGAGACTGGGCGAAGTTCCAGGGGCAATCCTGGCGCAAGCCAACGGCGAGAGCGGCGCCCGGGTGCCGGGTCCCAGCACTTGTGCTGCCTTTGCCCAGGCGGAGGGGTAACCAGACCTGGCGGAGAGTGGGGGAAGCAGCCGGAAACGGGCGAGCGCGGCAGCCCGGGAGCAGCCTGGACGGTGGCCTCCGGAATCGCTCCGTCTCAGCTTGCCCCCTCCCTCTTTATTTGCCTCCGCCCCCTCTCCCCTCCTCCCCCTCACCTCGCGTCCTAAAACGCGGCGGGCGCCTTTAAGAGGGAGCTTTGGTTACCCTGGGGGCGGGAACCCCTCGGCAGATTGGGAGGCGGCGGCGCTCGCCCGCGATGCTCCTCACTTTCTGCTCCAGCTCCCGCCGCCGCCGCCGCCGCCGCCGCCGCCGCCGCCGCCGCCGCCGCCTCCTCCTCCGCTTCCTCCTCAGCCTCGAAGCGTCGTTTTTCTGCAGCAGAGAGAAGTGCTATGTCAGGAAAGTTCCGGGAGGGACTGGATGGGGCCATGCTCCCTGGGTTCTTCTGCAGGCGCCCGCGCGCAGCCCTTTGTATGAGGTGAGACTTGGGGTCCTTGGCCCCCCGGACAGGTAGCCGCCCGCGGGGAGCGCTTCGGTCCGCCGCGTTGGGGAGGCTGTGCTGTTGGGCGGAGTGTGTGGCGGAGAAGGAGCTGGTTAGACCGAAGTTGTGCAGAAGAAGCTCGGGTTTTCGGGAAGGTTTTGCGGCTGGACTTGAGTGATTTCGGCAGCCCGCGCCGCACGGTGGGGGCCCGGTCGGGACTCGGTTTCCCGGGGTGCCGCCCGCCTCGCTTTCCGACGCCCCCTGTCGCCATCCCCTGCCCGCTGGAGCAGTTAGGCCTTCTAGGAAACTGGGCGGCTGCAGGTTGGCACCCAGCGCCGGCTTTTTCTCTGCGGGGCTTTCTCCTCCAGAAGCTAAGTGTCGGGAGTGAGAGAAAGGGGATGGAATCCTCTTGAACTTTTACACTGTGCTCTCTTCCCTATTTAGGGGTGAAATTCACCTCGTTTGCCCAAGTCGGGAGGCTCTCTGCGAGCTGCAACAGTTTGAGAGCTCGCCTCTTACATGTGGGTGAGCTTGCGGCGCTGTGTGTCTGTCTTTCAGCCCTGGTCGGTTTTCGGCGTCGCCCTGATTTTAAGTCCTCTCTTCCCCGCCCCTTTTGGGAAACATTCTCTCTCTCTCTCTCTCTCTCTCTCTCTCTTTAATATCCCTGAGGTTCAGGGTGCTGAACACACACATAAACACACACACACACACACACACACACACACACACAAGACCCCCTCCCCAGATATGTTTATGATATGTCCCCTGGGGCTGACCCAAAATTTCAAAGTGATCCTGTAGTCTCTGATTAGATATTTAGACTTGGTCAGGACACTTACGGAATACAGGTATCCCCCGTAGTAGGTATGCAGTTTTTTTCGGTGAGACAAGGTGAGATTTTAACTGTACCGTTTTAAGATAGGATTTCCTCTTTGTTTGTTTATTGGTGAATATGGTTTTCATTATGTCTTAGATTAAAAGGCTCCAACTAATTTTAAGGGTAGTATTTCTAAGAATCATAAAAAAAGCAACCTGATGTTTCTTGCATAATCTGACATTACTTCAGACAGTTTTACCCTTGGATGAGGTATGTAATATGTGTAATTATTTGATGGAACCTAATATATGAGTACATTTATTACACAAATGGGTAAGTTTTCTTTTTTCATGTGTCCTGTGGGTGAAGGAAGCCCATTTTCTCACACCCCCAGGTCTCTGCCACACCTGTCTAATCCTGTTTCTGTTCTCTCCACTCACAGTGCACACATCTGGCGTCAGCTGCAAATCAAAGGTACTGATGAAAAGTCCCTATATTTTGTGAAGTATTGCATAGCCAGAGTTTTAGTGACATAATTGATTACATCATCCAGATTATTTTAAACAGAATGTGGGAGCTTGTTTAAAGAAAAGAATATCATAAGTATTTAAATTCTCAGTTATATGCTTTATGTGTAGTCTCTGTGTGAAAAAAATATTCTCAAAATAGAGAGGGGGTATTGTAGGAAACATTTGTAGTGAGGAAGTTTTGAAAGGAAACCATTACGGGCGCCTGGGTGGCTCAGTTGGTTAAGCGACTGCCTTCGGCTCAGGTCATGATCCTGGAGTCCGGGGATCGAGTCCCACATTGGGCTCCCTGCTCAGCAGGGAGTCTGCTTCTCCCTCTGACCCTCCCCCCTCTCATGCTCTCTATCTCATTCTCTCTCTCTCAAATAAATAAATAAAATCTTAAAAAAAAAAAAAGAAAGGAAACCATTACAGAATAACCATTAATATTATGACATTTTGTTTGGGATATAGATTTTCACCTCTGAGCAAAATTTTAATCACTCTGCTGTCAAACATACCAGAACTGAAACTTAAAGAAAAAATAACTCGCTGTCCAAGCGTTTTCTGAAAATTTGCAGCACACTGACCGTTCTTGGAAAAAAATTTGCTTAGAAAAAGTCACATACTTAAAATCCTCCCTGCGGTTATCGTTTTACCTTAAGTTTGCTGGAGTCCAGACAAGAAAGTACTGCATTCAATGAGAATTTGGGGTTCTAAGGTAGATAGGACTTAGTTCCTAGAATATACAATTTTCTAGGAAATTTAGCAATTTTGAGATTTTGTATATGGTTTATTTGATTTGAAATGATTGTTTTATGGATATGCTTTTTTTTTTAAGTAATCTTTACTCCAGATGTGGGGCTTGAACTCACCACCCCGAGATCAAGAGTTGCATGCTCTACCTACTCAGCCAGCCAGGTGCCCCTGAATTACTCTCTTTTTTTTTTTTTTTTTTTTTATTTTTTTAAGATTTCATTTATTTATTTGACAGAGATACAGCGAGAGGGGGAACACAAGCAGGGGGAGTGGGAGAGGGAGAAGCAGGCTCCCTGCCAAGCAGGGAGCCCGATGAGGGGCTCAATCCCAGGACCCTGGGACCATGACCTGAACTGAAGGCAGACGCTTAACGACTGAGCCACCCAGGCGCCCCCTGAATTATTCTTTTTAAAACTAAATATATATATTACACACACATGCACACACATCATCTGTCTATATCTATACATACATATTTATATATCTATATCTGTAACAGGGAAAACTATATAGGGACTTGATAATATACATGCACTAGAAACACAGGTCTAAGAGATCAGAAGCTAAAAATAGTTCCCGTTAAGGCTTGCTATCTCTTTAGCATTTTCATCAATTTCATCAACATCAGTTAAGTTAAAAAATACTGTGTTTTCCCACGTGTTCTTGTTCTTGCACAAGTCTCGTACCAGGGGGCCATATGCCAATGATCTTAACCACATGTTTATTAAAATGGACTGAAGTATCCCATCAGTGGATGATTGAACCTGAATGATTGAACCTGGATGATTGAAATGCCGGCATTTCTCATGCTTCAGTAATTTATCTTCAGTAGAGGAATCCCTGGGAAAAAATTAGCTTGTCAATATGATGTTTTCTTTTTTAACACTTCAAAAATGACCTTCAGGGCATTCTCCGAAGTTCTGAGACTTAATAGATCTTGAAGGCATGGGAGGCAAACTTTGGGAAGTTGTGGTACTCCAATTTGTGAATGATGTCCTAAATAAGTATTTGGTTTGAAAGAGGTATCCATTAATGCTTGGGTAAATAATAGCTATGATACAGTGCTCTAATCACTACAAGCAAAGCTTTGGAGTATTTCTTACCACATTCCACAGCTGAAACTGCTACATTCTAACATATGTGTATGAAAATTAGAAATGAAGTGAAATAATCTTTTAGACTGATTTTTGCTTTATTTGCTAGGCATTTTTTTATATGTGTTTATATTTGCCACAAATACCCTTTACTTTGTTGCAGGTGGCACTTTTATTCCTTTTTTGCAACTATGAGGTGTATCTTAGGGTGAGTTCTTCGTGTTCACTCGAAACAGACAGTAATGTGTTTCATTGAGTTTATGTTGTGTCTCTTTGGCTTTCAAAAAGTAACATTTGAGATATTTGATTATGAGCCTGAGATCACACCAAAGCCTTTCAGAACTGATGGGATCTTGGTCAGTTATAGTTTCAGTTTCCTGGGAATTTTTTGTTTGAAGGTCAGATATGGCCCTAATTTTAACTGGATGATCCACAAAATAGGTACTTTTGTAACCACAAAACATGGAGAACATTCCAAATAATTTGCAGTTTGGGCAGCCCAACATGCTTTCATGTTTAGTTGGCTTGAGGCAGTGTGCCATGCTTGTAAAAAATGGTTTTTGAAGTTGACAGTGAGCTGTTTCAGTCTTTGAGTTTGACATATAGGATAAGTGCCTTTTAGCCTCTATGCTGGCAAATTCGGACAGGATTGGTAAAAGTAATTTGTTCTCATTTCTGTCTGTATGACAGAAGATTTAGGAAATTCAGGCATGAAACTCTAGCTTAATAGACTGGAAAGCACATTCATGTTTATTAAAAATGTAAGGAAGAGTTGGGAAGGTTGGATTTTAACATAGCTTTCAAACCTTGGGCAAAAGAGTGTATATTTGCAGTTAGGAGGGTAATCTAGTGGTCACCTATTGAAATTAATAATAACACTGTTATTGTCAGCATTTCCTTTGAGTGATAATTCTAAAGAAATTATATTCTCTTAGTCCCAGTTTAGATTGAAAAACATCCCCAGCCAGGTACTGTACAAGTAACCAATCACCTGGCATATATGTTCCTCAATTCTTAGATAATTTTCAGTTGAAACCCTTATGTGTCATTTTAACCATAAGTTTTACATACCATTTGGGGTTTTTGACCAAAGCTGCTTCATTAGTTTCTTTTCTCTCAACTGACTAAGTCCTGTCTGTATCATTAAAGCATTTAAAAAATAATTTAGGCAAAATGTTTTATGTGGGAACTCTAATGTTCTGCCTTGAGGAGGTGGTGCAGAAGGGACATGATTCTTTGTTCTGTTACCTTCCAAAGGGAGGTACTGTCACCTCTTCCTGGTTTTTTTTTTTTTTTTGGTTTTTTTAATTTAATTTAATTTTTTATTTTATTTTTTTAAAGATTTTATTTATTTGAGAGAGAGAGAATGAGAGATAGAGAGCACGAGAGGGAAGAGGGTCAGAGGGAGAAGCAGACTTCCCGATGAGCAGGGAGCCCAATGTGGGACTCGATCCCGGGACTCCAGGACCACGACCTGAGCCAAAGGCAGTCGCTTAACCAACTGAGCCACCCAGGCGCCCTGTTTTTTTTTTTTTTTTTTTTTAATTTTAGAGAAAGAACATTTGCAGGCATTTAAAGATGCTTGAAGTTTGGATCACAACAAGAGTTTCAACGGAAAGTTCCCTAAGAATCAGTTAACATTTGTTTATGTCGGGTGTTCAGTACGGTCTCTGGCTGAGGGTGTCTGCTACAGGTTTTTTGATCTAAGTTGGTCCTGGGAGAATACAGATTCAAAGGGAGGTGGAGTGGAAAGGGGACTAATCCAGGCATAGCATCCATTGCCTTCCAGAGGGCATTTTGGACACAACTCTAAATGTGTAC